AATACCCTCAGCTTTCAGCATTGCTAAAAACAAATAGTTTGCCCTCAGAAAATAACCTGTTTGTAGTATCTAGGGTGGAAAAAAGATATCCTGGGTTGTGAAAGTTGTTTGTTCCATCACCATGAAACTCCTTGCACAGGTCCCAGGGCAAGACATGGCACGCAGGGAGGTGACAGTGGATTTCTGCATCACAGCTCAATCTTTAGCTTTAAAGTAGAAACCGTGCTTTTATTCCTAAAATAGCCATTTGTTCCAATTAACATCTTTCTGGTAGCAGAAAGGGAGCAATGAGTAGAGTATGGTGTTACAGAACACAGAGAAGGGAACATTATCTTACAGAACTCTGGGGGGTTGTCCACCAAAATTCTTTCCAAGTAACGTGTTAAAATATTGGTAATGCAGTGACTCAACCATATAAACAGATGGAGAGAGTAGTGTGCAGCCAGTGATTCAGCCAATATACAGCTCTGGAAAATTCAAATTTGATTTAACATGAGGAGAAATATTGAATAAGACATTTCTAATTTTTCCTTTTGTTTGAAGAGGCTGTAAATAGGTTGGTTTTGCTACTGAACAGAGTAGAAAAACATAAGCTCATAACAGCTGATTCAAAGGATGGCATCCTTGGTCCTTGCACAGAAACTCCTTGCAGCAGTGCTGCACTGCAGTGCCAGCTCTTGGTCTGAGCCCAAGTCCCGCTGTGGGACACAAGCTCCTAATTTCTCCAGAGGGAGTGTTCCCAGCCGAGTTACGCAGATCTCCATGATCTAGTTCAAGCAACAGCATTTATTTAGACGGAGTTAACTCATTAACTTCGGCTTTAAGATCTTAAAAGATGTATCCACTATAAAGTAAATCACACGTTTTTTTCCAGGCTCCTCCTATACCACGTAAAGTTGTGGCTGCAGATGTGAATGTGCTGTGCCTGCAAACAGGGCACACCAAGGCTGCTCTTGGGAATGCTCTCCAAACAGCCAGAGGACATCTAAGCTGTTGACATGTCTTACTACATCCTTTTTATTCCCTTGGAATGACGAAAGGAGAAACTGGTTTTCTATAGAGGCCTCCCATTGTCACGAGATCAACACTTAAAAACTCACCTGATTTTTATGGAAATCTTGGGGAAACCCTGTTCTCTTTAGATTATTCCAGTCCTATCACTGCAAATACAGGCTTTATTCCACAAGTTATGACTACAGATTACTGCCACCTGCATGGAAGCCTGTCCCTTCACCTCTACATAAATGTTGCCTTTGAAAGCTTAATTATGAAAGAGTTGCCACGTACAGAGTCGAGAGGCACGAGAAGTTTTCTGAACAGCTTAAATGCAGGTGAATGTTATGTTTTGCACACAGTTGTAATATTCATACCATGATAGTTGCTGAAGGATGTCAGAGTAAGCTTAATTCCTCTAGCAGTTGTATGTAGGATACAGTTTTGCCCCTCCAATACACTTCCACAATCCTACTGTGCCTAAATAGATACCGAAAGTATATTTAAGACAAGAGATTTAGGAAAGTGCTTGTCTCATTTGATGAGGCAGGAGCTCAATGTGTCCAATTATCTGTGCCAGCTGTGAGGAGTGCTTATATATACTGGGAGCTGTTCTGAGTAGTCAGGTAAGGTCCTGACCCCACAAATCTATCTGGGCATGTTTTAAATAATGAGCTATACTTAATAATTTTATTTCATATGTACAATGTGAAAAAGGTAACAGAAGTTAGAGAATCTGTGTGTTCTGTTATTTCAATATTGTCAAACCCCATTTTTATGTATTTGCAATTTGCTATTATGAAGTATTAAAGTGAAATTTCATTCACCCTGGCATGTGGCTTTTGCTTTTTTTAGAAAGAAAAGCGGCCCTCTTGCCACTGCATTGAAGTGAGTGCTCCCATACCAGTGGGAGCTCTGAGCACAAAACCTCATCAGCTGTGCAATAATCCTTATAAGATTTGCAGTATGGAGAGTTTCCTCAGGAGTGCTGTCTTCCATCCTTTGGATTGGATCCTTGTTCTTTTGCAGAACTAAGGGCCAACACTTTGTTTGGACATTCAGAAACAGAAAAGGCACCTGTCCTTTCTCTTTCTGTTTCTTTTTGTTGAGATTTTTTTGTTGTTTGCCTTTGGACCACTCATCTCAGTTACTTCTTCATTCTTTTCCCCCTACTGCTCATGTTTTCTAAGTTTCTGGCTTCTCTCAAGGGTCCTGTAATTTTTAGAGCTTTTCTTAAATCTTCATCTCCTGGAGCCATTTCAGCTGTGATATTTTAAAAATTAAGCTTAACCTTTAAAAATTAAGCCTGCAGAAGCTGTATCAGAGATGACTGAAGACAAATTGAAAAGCAAGGACCCCTTGACAGTGAGTGGGATCAGAACTTTCAGTGAGCTGGAAGTCACAAGTTTGATCAGGAATGATTTTTAGGTTACTTTCTTGTGGGAATGAGTTTTATATGGTCATGTCATGTAGGCAGAGGTATATCTGAGGATGTATCCATGCTGTTTAATAATGTTTGAATCTACTGACTTACTCCAGACAGGATTAAAGCTGACAGAATAATATAGTTCCTGTGGCTTTCATGGAAATAAGTTGTGGAGCAGGGAGGATATATCATGTTCTCCCCAAATCATGGAAAATCTGCAGCGGGAACATTTGGGCAACAGCATGCACTGACTAAAGAGAAATCTTAAATAAATCACAACTTTGGAGGAGATTTCAACTAAAACTTGCACATTACACTCTAAGGTTAACAAACCACGAGGCGCAGATGTGGAGTGAACCAGGCTTTCTTCATTTTGATAATTCTGATAACAAGCTTTAAGATTGAGGGAGGTAAAACATCTACTGAAATCACAAAAAGAGTAAGAGACTGAGGAGAGTAATGGATGGATTAACTTTAACTACAAAGGCGACCAAAATACGGGATTACTGGGGTGAGGGGGAAACAGCAGATGAAGAATTTCTACACCTGTTGTGCATGAGGGGGGAGCTCAGGAATAGAAAGTGGCAGCCAGGAAGGGAAGGAAAAGCAAAGGGAAGCAGGAGGAGAAAAGAAAATTCAAGTTGGGAAAGGCATCAAGAAAGGCTTTGAAGATCACTGGGAGGAGAGATTAAACAGAAACAAAATTAGTTTTAATTGAATCTGTTCGTTCTCAAAAGAAATCAGTGAACTCCCATCCAAAGAAGTGCAGGCAAGGCAGAAGAAGAACAAAGGGGTTGCAGGGAGAATCAAATTTGAAGAAGAGACAGGTCTGGACACGGGAAGCAGTTAATTTTAAGCACTGTTTAGTGGATGTGTCACTAATGAATGTGTCAGGGATAATGAGAGCTGAAACTTGTGGTAGCAGCAGTAGCAGTAGCTCTTGTGAACAAGAAAATAAGAGTTGTTTGTTTGTTTTGTTTTTTTTCCTAATCTTGCTTAAATAAATCTAACACTGAGCCATGATTTACCCATCTGAGCATTCTGGATTAGCACAGCTCAGTTCTATCCTCTCTGCTTGGTGTATAAGTTTCCTCTGTGCTCACAATGTCCACATGGTTCTGACTGTGCAGGGGAAAATGGCTGGAAAAGGAACTCCTGAGAAGGCTCCAGGCGGTCTGGCAAGGGGATGGAGCAACTGTTTTGTCAGTGGACAAATGGTGGCAGTGTGGACAGGGTGACAAGATTCCTGAAGCAACTGTGTTGGCTGAGCAGGGTCTTGACACAGCAGTGACGTGCAGGGGACTGATGGCACATTTAAGTAAGTGCCAAACTATTAGCCAGATCTTTAAAAAGTGCCCTGGCCCAGGAAAGTGTTACGTAAAACCAAAAACAGAAAAAAAAATAGCTGACTTGCTACTGTTAAACCAGGGAGAGACATGGAACATGAAAAAACGTAGAGTATTCCCAGTTTAGCGGGTACAGGACAATCAAGTAGATTCCCAGTGGCGGCTTTGCAGAGGGACCTAAAAGTAAAACTGCTTTGGGTTTAAATGGAGCTTCCTAAATTGAGATTTGCTTTTTATGTGTCGCTTTCTTCCTCCTCCTGCAAACCTCTGCTCTCAAAGCCAGCGAGGTGTTGTGGGGATGATCTTTCTGAAGTCTTGAGAATGAGAGCAAGGTGAAAGTTCCAGATCCATCACCTGTGACATGCATGAACCAAAGGCATCCCAGCCCTTTTGCACAGCAGAGTCTCTTTTTAAATATCCCGACAGCAAAACGGCCAAGCCATAGGGCACCCGCCTGAAAGCACATTCCTGTCCCTTACATAGGAATGGTTTGGGGAAAGGGGGAATATTTAACAGCGGTAACTCATGGGGGAAGAAGCTGTGACAGCACTGGTTCCTCCCAAGCGGAATTTCACTACAAAAAAAACCCAAAAAAATACATGTGTGGTCAGCATCTTTATTTCGGGCCGTGGCGGGGCCGCGGGCAGGATCCTGAGGGACAGCGCAGGTCCCGCGCTTTGGGGGTCTGGGGGAACAGGGGGCGCAGCTCTGGGGCCGGGAGGGGGCCAGGGCTCGGCCGGGCAGCCTCACCCCAGGCAGGCCGGAGGAGCTGCTGGGACGAGCCGTGAGGAGCCTCCAGCGCGGCTGCCGCGCCCGGGGCTGCCCGGGGCGAGCCCCGCCCGCCCTGCGCGGCTCCCCGGGGCACCGCAGCGCCACCAGCCGAGGCGAGGCGCCCTCCCGAGCCCGGCGAGCAGCGCCCTGAGGCGAACCGAGGGCGAGCACCAAGCGCTGCCCGAGGGAACGGCGTTCGTGCGCCGGCACGAACCCGCCGCAGCCTCTCCCCTCATGGCGGAGCCACTTGGTGCCTCCCTCCTCCCCCCCACCCCCAGCAATGGTTTCATCCCCCCGCCTCACACACAGCGAGAGGCGTGGCCTCACCCCCCCCTGCTTTCCCCGCCCTCCTCATCCATATTCATGAGGGAGAGACGGGCGGCCCCCAATGCGGAGGGGCGGTGCGCCCAAGCCCCGCCCCAGAGCGATGAATATTGATGAGGCGCGCCGTGGCGTCGGGGGCGGCGCGGGCGGCGATTGGCCGGGCGCGGCGGCGCGCGGTGACGCGCGCGGCGGCGGTGCGGGTCCCGATTGCTGCAGCCGCTTGTCAGTGTGACGAAGATTGGCACCCGAGGTAAGCGCTGTCACTCAAACCCCGCTCCAGCCCCGCCGTCCATCACGGCGCGCCCGCCGCCCGGGCACGGCCGCACCGGGGAAGCGGCAGAGCGGCCGGGGAAGGGGCGAGCGGGGCGGCGGCGGCGGCGGCGAGGGGGGAAAGGGGCACCCGCGCTCCGCCGCCGCTCGCACGGACCGGGGGGTTTAAGGGGCGGTGGCGGGCGCGGGGAGGGGAAGGAGGGGAAAAGCGGGGAGGGGTGTGGGGGGGGGGAGCGGAGCGAGGAAGGTTCTGGAACGGCCGCCGTGCGCCCGTTGTGTCCCGGCGGGGGCGCGCGCGGGGAGGGGACGCGGGAGCGCGCGCGGGTCCGCGCGGAGGAGGAGGAAGAGGAGGAGGAGGAGGAAGGAGATGGGGGCGATGGGATGGGGGGGGGGGGGGAAAGGAAGGAGGGAGGGAGAGGAGGCGACGCGATGCTTAAAGGGGCAGCACCGTGCTGGCCGCTCCTCGGAGGCGGCGGGGGGAACCGGAGGGGGCTGCTCCGCCACCGCCGCCCCTCGCAGCTGCACGCCGCTCTCCTCCGCTCCCTCCCGGGATGCCCCGGCACACCTGCCCTGCCCCGGCGGGGATGCGCCCCGCTCTGCGGGATGCTCCCGCCTGCCGGCCGCTCCGGGTCGCTCCTCGGTGCTGGCTCCGTTCCGCCGTGACCCCCGCGCTCTGCCGGCTGCCCTGCGAGCAGACACCTTCCCGGCAGCCAGCCCCGGGGTTGCCGCGTGTTTACGCGGCCGCAATTAGGAGCTGAGACTTGACACTGCCCAGAGGCCCTGCTGGGGATGTGTAAACAATAATAAATCAAGCGCTGGTTTTATCCCCAGCTATTGCCTCAGTGAGCCACATGTCCCGGGTCTCATGGAGCGGTCCATGGCTTTCCTTCGCTCCCACCGCGCCGGAGTTCGTCAATTAGCAATATCACAATATAAGTAGTTAACACGTTCGTGTGATAATTCTCTGTATAGCTTATTGCTGTTTTTAAAAATTTAATTGATTACATATTTTCTTTAGTCTTAAATGGCGATACGTAGTGTAATTTTAGAGATAGGTCACAGTATTTGCTTATTTTTTTAGTCTGCTGCTGCTGAAGTTTTTAGTCCCTTTTTGTAGTTTTGTCTGAGTAAATGACTGGTGTAGTTTAGGGAGGGAGAATCCCAGAATGGTTTGAGTTGGAAGGGACCTAAAAGCTCGTCTTGTTCCAACCCCCTGCCGTGGGCAGGGACACCATCCACTATCCCAGGTTTCTGCAAGCTCCAGTGTCCAGCCTGGCTTTGGACACTTCCAGGGATGGAGCAGTAAATAATTTATTCCTAATGCAAGACACTGCTATGAAACCCTTAAAACTGAATGAGTTGCTGGTTTGTTGGATTTTTTTTTTTTTTTTTTTTTCATTTGAGTGCTGCCCAGGCAAGATTCATTTTGTGTCCTTGCTCCTCTTTGGAATAGGTTGTGTGCATTCCATTAAACAGATCCCAGGAACAGGCAACATGGGCATTATGTTCTGGATGTTGGAAAACACTTGGGCCAACATCCTGTGGAGAAGAGCTAGAGGCTGTAGGTCACTCTCAAAGTATGCTAAATATCTCTTTTTAAAAAAAAAAAAAAACAAAAAAAAACCTTTCTTAGTTTTTAGAAAAAAATGTTCATTTAGTTAGTTCCTAATTTTATTCTCAAGCATTCTCTTCCACAAAATTTTAGTGCAGATTGTTTGGTGAGGAGAATTGTAACAACTGTGGCTTAGGATATCCACACATCCTGCTGTTCTCCATGCTGTGCACATGCTCACAGGTTGTTCCCTGTCCTCTGTGGGATATAATCTGTTTATGGGCTGCCTGTGCTGTGGGGTTACATCCCTGTGGCTGTATTTGTATGTGTGGTTGAAGTGAGATGGCTTCTGCAGCTGGATGGAGCCCTGGTCAGTCCCTGCTAGCTGCACATGTGAATTTTATGGATTACACTGAACCAGGAAACAAGATGTTGTGACTGTATCAGAAATCCATCCTTAGATGTGTTTCCAGACTGTGTCATTGCTACAGTGTCAAGCAACAGCAAGTGCATTTTCTGTCAAGTCAAATTGCAGATTTATCCTTTTCTGAGTCTGTGTAATCACATATAGAATCATTACATTCAAGTTTTCAAACGTGTCTGCAGGAAACAAATCCCCCAAAGATTTCACATAATCTATTCAAAATAATTAAAATTATTTTTCTCATGAATATTCTATCTTCAGTTTATTTTATGAACTATACAGCATTCTTTTGACTGTCACCACTTGATATATTTTCTTGTCGTCTCGTAATTAAAGTATCCACAGGAAAACTTCAGTGTAGGTTTCACTGCGTTTTCTTTACATAATCTCCAGTTCAGTGGTGAAAGGCAGAGCTCAGTGTGCTGCAGTCACAGGGTAAAAAGGGAAAGTCACAGGGTAAAGTAGAGGCTGGTGTGCTGAACTGAGATTTTGGAGGCTCAGATCATTGCTCATTGATCTCCCCAGTGGATTTTGGCCATGCATTTTTTTTAAATCTGTGCTTATGTGTTTTGCTGGGCTGAATTTTTTTTCCTGTTGATTTCCCGTGTGCTGATAGAAAACCCAAGAATTCTTCACATTTTGAGTACATTGTTGTTGTTGTTAGGGTTAGTGAGGGTTTTGTTTTGTATTTGGAAATTTCACTTCGGCATGTAAAAAGTCAAGCTGGTATTAAGTACTTACAGCTTTGATTTGTATTCTTAATACAATTTGTAATATTTGGGTCAAATAAAAATAACATTTTAAAGCTAAGTCTTTGCAATCTTCCATTATGGGACTGAAAGGAGTTTAGAATGAATGAAATATAAATTTATTTTAAATACTTTAGCCTTACAAAATGGTTAGTCTTCTGGAAGCTGTAATTTCTTCTTCAGAATTCTGCTTTCCAACCATATTTTTCTGTGCTGTAAATGCAGTGCTCTCATAAAGCCCTAATAATTCTGATTGCTGCCACAGCAAATCTGGGACTGTTCAGGAGCAATTCAGTTTCCTGGAAAAGAGTAACTCTTTGGTGAAATTAAAGCCTGTAGTAGTGGCCGAGGGTGAATGATCACAGAGCCACCACTGTGGCACTGGAACTGCCTGTTCTAATGGCCGTGTTAATGTTCTGAGTGGAGCAGTCCAAATTGTATTTCAGAATATTATGTCGTGGTCTGGCAGCCAAATGTTGCCTCTGCAAAACTGGCACATATGTGAAAGCTTACAGTAAAGCAGATTAATATTTGTATTTTGGTCTAAGTAAGACCAAATGCAATTTTTTTGTGTGTGAAATTAAAAATGTTGCAAATGTTACTTCTCTTGCAGCAGCTGGTTACTTCACTTCTCACTTGTTCAAAGGGTCTGTAGGTTTAAAAATGAGAAGCCTCAGAGGGGTTTATTTTGCCACAGCTCAGTGCTGTACAAAATGTAAAACAACTTACTGCTCTTCTAAGCAGGAGGATTCCAAGAGCAAGGAGAAAAAGCTGCTGATGGAGTTCTTTCATTTGCTTACTTGATGCCAGATGTTGCCAAAATCTTTTACCCAGACTATTCTAGATCTCCCCAGGGTGACTGAACAGTGAAATATTCACACTTGTAGCAGGCTCTTCACTTTGTTCACTGAGGTGGTTTCACGCCAGAACTGTGGAACACAGGATTCATCAGGTAGATCAGAGATGAGGTGGAAAATAAAATAATGGAACCACGGATCTGGAAGTGCCAATTTTGTTATTATGGAGCCGTGGCACATTTTTATGAAGTTGCTGAGGGGCAGTAACTTGGTTCCCCTGCCAGCAAAGAGGGGATCCCATGTCATGTATGGCGCTGGGAGGCAAACATTGGTGCTAGAAAGGAAAATAAAACTCAGACCTTGTTCTGACATGGTTGGTTCTCATCCTTCACAGGAACACATTGTTTGGGGTTTGATGTGGCAGCTCCTCCGGGCCGTGGTGTTCTCATTTTTTAGTACCTAGGTGTACAACAGAGGTATTTGCTGTTAAACCTGAGGGCTGTTTGAGTACACAGAGAGTCAAAAGGTGATTTTTGAAAATGGAAGCTGAGTGTGATGATCACAGACTGTCCTTCACCCTGCTGTGCTCTCTTCTGCAGCTGATGGGAAATTCAGGCAAAAAGTAGAATATGGCAGCCTACTTCTGGTGTACTGAAATAGGGATCCATTTCTTTTAAACCTCCAAATTCCAATTTTTATTTTATTGGTGAGGTTTTGGAATTGCCTGTGTTTTTTCTTGAAGGCAGAAGAAGCTAGGAAGTGTGGCTATACTTCACATCCTGCTTGGCTTTTTATGAGTTACACAGCAAACAAAGCAAAGGGAAAAAGGATATTATCATACTTGCTGAAAAATAAAGTCCAAGCCTTTTATATTCCAAGGAAGCAGAGGCAATTAGAAAACAGAAATTGGATCTTTACATGTTTTTGATCTGCCTAGAAAACAGGGGAATTAAAATGTGTGTGCTGTGTTGTATGTCTTTGTAACTAAAGAACTTCTGGGTCAGTCTGTGATCACTTAATTTAAATTTTCTAGCCCATTTTTATGTGCTCTAGACCATGGTAATAGCAACACTAGAAGGAAGATTACCTGTTTATCTTTTATTATTATTGTTATTTCGAGGTGTTGATTTCAGTAATTTAATTCTTAGTCCTACTGAAATTTGCCACAATGAATATGTTTGAGCAGGGTTATTCTGCCAACTTAAAAATGACTCAGCATCTTAAGAATGACTCTAAGAGAAAGCAAATATGTTAGTTTATAAGAAAGGCAGGATTCTTCTTATTTAAGAGCATATCAGCAGTTGTACATTTTATTGTTGCAGAGGGGACAGGATCGAAAGCATTCACATGGAGCATATGGCTGTTCATTGAGAACCTTCAACAGGCCAAAACCTCTTGGAAAACTTGGTTTATATGGTACTGAGCCAACATTTATTATCTAAATTACCTGAATATTCT